AGAAGTTTGGATATTTGTTGTGTTTTTTAATCGAAGAAAGTTTTTAACATTGTGTTTGTGAAAATATTTAAAACAGAGTTTTAATATAAAGTAAATTTAGTGCCACTAGGTTAGAAACAATTGGTAGCATTAAGAATGAAAACTTTAAACTTTTAGCAATTATCAGTCAATTCTGCACAGTATGTAAAGCTTCTCCCTTTCACAAATCGCGTGATCATATCAAGTGCCACCTTGGGCTGATCATACGGGACCAGGTGGCCGGCATTGCGCACAACAATGTACAGCAGATTGCCCACCTCCTTCACATAACCGGCCACAGCTGAGCTATTGAAGTCCATCCGGTAGATAGTTCTCTGCGAGTCATAAAACTTCCGCCCACCAGGTCCACCACCTCCTCCCGTCCAGTTCAGACTGTGCACAAAGCCCTCCACCAGCGGCGCCGCGACGATAATATCGAGGTTTCCGGCGTAGAAGAGCGCCCGATAGCCCGCCTCCAGCAGCTCCTCCACTTCCGCCTTCACGCCAGCCATCACGTCCTTCTCCTGCAGCCGCTCCCGGACCACTTCGAAGCCGTTCCGCCGATGATGGCTCCCTAGGTGCAGTGACGCTCGAGTGGAGGCATCGAAGTAAAAGTACTTCCAATTTTCCATCTCCTTTGGGGAGTACTGCTCGAGGAAGTTGTACTGCCAGCGCAGACCGGTGTGTCCCTCAAAGGCGTCCCAAAGTCGGTTTAGGTGCTCCATGAAAACTGCCCTGTCGCCCTCTTCAATGGCTTTTCTCATCTTCACCTCCCGTTCTCGATACCAGTCTCGCTGTTTCCGGTCGATCAGCCCCGTGGCACTGAGGAAGTCGCCGTAGTTGAGCTGGCTGGCCGGGTCGCAGAGGCCGTTTCCAATGGCGAAGCCCTGCAGGTTGATGCCCCACCTTTCCATCGTTTCCTCCCTGGTTCCTCCCAGTCGATGAATGGCCGCCCCCAAAGAGGCGACAAACTTGCCGGCGTACGACTGGCCGGTGATGAAGAAGGGATTGCCGCGATATTCGCTGAAGACGGTGAAGAACTGCTTCAGCGCTTCAAGCAGGTCTCGAGAGACCTCCTGGTGAGTGGTGGCGTAGAATGACTCATCGGAAGTGAAGCTGAAGCCCGTCCCCACGGGACTGTCAATGAAGAGCTGGGCAAACTCCCGGTTCCAGGTTTCATT